AATAAAAAACTTCATGGTTTTTCCTAATATGCCTACACAGAATTAGCAGACAATCATACAGAATGGGACCCTTGGTTGCCAAGGCGACTGCGCTACATCTAAATCAAAAGGAATGGAACCTAGAAATTTGTATTCGTCAGTAATGAGGCAAGTTCAGCTTGCGACAATCGAAACATTTCTTCACAAGATAGGCGGAAGGTCTTTATTCCCTTTTTCTATTCACTGTCTCGGAGGATTTCCATTAACTGCTGAAAAAATCTTTGGGCGTAACTGATTTTGCGGGGAAAATTCCCACAGACTGTTCTTTTGATTGAAATCGGAGTCGACGACGTACGTATACAAGAAAATTTCCAAAAACCTGTTTTTTCGATTAATTTCGAATTTTCAGATTTGGCAGAGTAGTTTTTGAGAAAGCAAAAAAAATGCAAATGTTAAAGTTTTTCAAATAGTTTTTCCCCATAAAAGTCTTCCTACAAAAGTTATAGAGTCGGCTCTTTGACAGGAAAAGTTCCTGTATCCTGTTCCTTTGATTGAACACGTAAATTCAGCTTTGGCACGGTAGTTTTTGCGAAAGAAAACAAGTTTTCAAGAAACAATCAATAACTCAATGCTTAATGTATTCGCTTTTTCGAAGGATACAATTCTTCTTTAAAAATTTAGGGCGTACTGGTTTCGCCGGCGATAAACCCCAACCTGTTATTTTGATTGAACAACTTATCTCAGAGTTGGCAGGATATTAATTCCGAAAAAATTCTGAAAAGACGGTAAAATTTTTCAAATTTTATTTTCCCGATGCCAAATCATTAGTCTGCAAAAATAAGGGCGTAACCCGTTATTCAGACGTTCCTACAACTCGGTTTTTTGATAGAAACCCACCGTTTTCTGAAATCTTTTCGACTTTTCTTGGCAAAATACCTACCAATTATTAGGTTATGGGTACAATCGAAAAACCTAACCTGTTTATTGGAATCTTTGCATACATTGCAAAGCAGTAACTTTTGTGGGAAAAAAAATTAAAAATTGTCGTAGTCTAGCTTTTAAACTTTTTTTGACTTTTATCGAAAACTAATACCAAGAGGCTTTTTACAATTTGATTTGTTGTTCCAAGCAAACCTTTGACATCAGATTTTCCAAACAAAGGCGAGGCAGAGCTTTGAACCACTTGCAATACAATACAAGCATTAAAAAAAGAAGTCGAAAAATTTTTAATATTAAAAAAAAAACAAAGTGAAAAAAAAGTTCATATATTTGATATTGATATAAGACATCTGTGGGCTAAGCTAAAGCTGAAGGTACGTGTTTGACATTGAATGATTTTGCTTTACTGATCACGAAAAATGTGATTTGAAAATTGGGACTTTGCCCAAAAACCTTAGTTGTTTCTCTACTAAAATAAATTAGAAGAGCACAAAATATCAGAGTAAAATAAGTAAAACTAATTGTCTACACAGAGGCGAAGCTGAGCTTCGCAAACATTTGCGAGAACACGACCATAAACCAGCTCTATCAAATGAAAAAAAATAGAAGAAACAAGCCTCGATTTAGCAAAATCACGGCTGTGTAGGTTTCGAATATCCGACCTTGAGATAACCCACACGTTATAGAACAATAAATTAGGACGCGTACCCTCAACTTTAAATGGGCTCCGAGTTGTTTTTCAATCAAAATACACAAAAATTTGGATTCACTTTGTTTTTTTTTAACATTAAAAAATTTTCGACTGATATCAAAATCAACTGAAAGACCACCTACCCCATGTATGCCTGCATACGCACCTAGTCTCTTTTCACTTCACCACTCTGACTACAGCCTCCGTGGAGATATTCAACCCATATATGTTTTTTTTGTTTTCTTAAAAAACTATACGTCTCAAATCTGGATTTTTGGTTTCAATAAAAAAACGGTTTTGAAAAGCTCCTTGCATAAGTGGCTAATCAAATTTTAATTTTTAAATCATTTTTGGCAGTGTTTTACCTTCTTATGAATCACACAAATAAATCTGAGATGAAAACCTCAATTAAAATATCTCGCTGCGATAATTGTTTCTGCAGAAGCGGGGACTCCTTAATTTTTTGTAATAGAAATGTTATCTTGTTGAGAAGATTGATTATTTCAAAAAAGTTACTTTTGTTTTTTTAGAAAAAAAACACTCAAAAATTTGGGAAAAGTCCTTGCGATACATTACAAACATAAAAACATAAGTCGAAAAAATTTTATTGTTGAAAAAAAACAAAGTTAATCAAAATTAATCAAAGTTAATCAAAATATTTTGATTTAAAAACATCTAGGGCCCAGTTAAAACTGAAAGTACGTGTTTGTTATTGAATGAATTTGCTATACTGATGCGTCACGAAGAATGTGATTTCAAAATTTGGACTTTTCCCGAAGTTTTGAGTTGTTTCTCTTTAAAAAAATTAAAATTTTTGAAATAAAAAATTTCACAAAATACAACTCCATTACAAAAAATTAAAGAGTCCTCGCTTCTACAGGAACAATTATTGCAACCGGATACTTTAATTGAGATTTTTATCTCAGATTTAATTGTGTAATTTATAAAAAAAAAAGTTCAAAAGTTCTAAAAAACGGTTTAAAATCAAAAATTTGACTAGCCACTAATGCAGGGAGTCTTTCAAAACCATTTTTTTTATTGAAACCAAAAATCCAGATTTGAGACGTATAGCTTTTGAGATTATGAAAAAAAAATCAAAAATATGAGTCGAGTATTCCCCACGAAAGCTGTAGTCAGAGTGGTTAAGTAAAAAGAGACTGTAGGGGCCTATGCAGGCACACATGGGGGTAGGTGGTCTTTCAATTGATACTGTCTTTTTTGAAAAACAATAGAAGTTTCTGAGAAAAAATAAAAAGATTCCAACAAAGAAGCGAAGCAGAGCTTCGTGCCCTTTGTGATACAACAGACATAAAAACAGAAGTCGAAAAAAATTTAATAATAGAGAAAAAACATAGTGAATAAAAATTGCCATATATTTTGATTAAAAAACACCTCGGGGCGCAGTTAAAGCTGAAGGTGTGTGTTTGTTATTGAATGAATTAGCTCTACTGATGCGTCAAGAAGATTGTGATTTCAAAACTTGGACTTTTCAAAATTTTTGTGGTGTATGAAGGCTGTAGTCAGAGTTGTGAAGTGAAAAGAGACTCTAGGGGAGTATGCAGGCACATATGGTAGTAGGTGGTCTTTCAATTGATGCTCTTTTTTCAAAACAGTAGATTTAAGAAAAACTACTTTTTTTCCCAATTAATTTTGAAAAATTCCATAACGAAAAAAAAATTCAACAAACCGATTGGTAAACATGCAACTTACTTGAAAAGTGCGGAAAGTACTAAAATTGCGATTACCTTGAAGCGAATCAAAATTAGGTAATTTAGTCGATGGCAAATAGACCAAAATCATTTGCGTCGAGGACATTTTTAGTGAAACAAAAAAAAACAAAGGAAAAACGAAGTCAAGATAAGTGTAATTATAAATTGTCGGAGTAAATTACGCACTAAAGGCATCATTTAAGAAAAGTGCGCGCAGCATAGAAAATTCCGAGATAAAAAACAAAGCCGACAAACAGAGAAACAGGCACATAAATGGCCGACAACTTGAAACTAAATCTTTCCTTGTTTAAAAAAAAGTCCTGGTCAGATGCGAACACAGGACATGTGCCGTTCCAGGCATGTTCGTTACCTCCAGGCTGTTGGCCGGGAACGCATAGACGGTTGTTTTTATTATGAGCCAAGATACACCTGATTCAAGTGATTGTTGTTAATCCGAAAAACGTTAATTTTCCGGTTTGATAACGCTTGCTGGGAAAATACTAACCCCCAGTTCTTTCCATTGAACTCTTAATCCCAGATTGGGCAGCAGTTTTACAGAACAATTTCAAGAAAAAACTAAGAATTTATGGAGTAGAGGCCTATTCAGGGGAGATTCCAAATACCTAATTTGATTGAATCCTTAATCTCGGATTTTTCAGTTAACGAGAAAATCAAAAAATGGTTCAAAATTGCACACTAAAACCATCGAAGGCCGTAGAACGTGGAGCAAGGTAATCAGTGGCTAGCAGAATATGCAGGCGCTTAGGGTAGTTGCCGGTCATTCCATTGGTACTTTGATCTAAAAAATCGGTAAATAGTTTAACTTTTGCGGCACGTGAAAAATTCTCCATCTTCAAGTCCCATACATTTACATATTGTTTGTTTTGATCAAACAGGATCTATTTTTAGTATATCTTCATTGTTGAGCAAATAGTCAGATTTCTTACATATTAGGTGGCTCGGATACTTTCACACGATCACTGCGCGGAAGCCTAAACTTAACAGCTCACTTTCTTATTAATGTTGAAGGTTGAGTATTTTTACATTCTTTATAACATTCAGTGGCTCTCTCCATTTTTTAATGCCTCGGTCCCACTCAATACAGGACCAACCGTGGTGGAGAGGTTTTCATATATTTCGCCGTAGCCAGTAGCATCATGAGGCGGATGACACTGAGACCCCTCCAACAATGACCGAAGTGGGCTCGAACACAATACCCTCGTGTTCAGAGACGCTTGCCTTACCTGGCTATCACGGCTGCTCTCTCTCCCATTATAGCCCCGGATGCCTCGTCTTGGGCTATTTTCCATATTTCCATCCAAATTTGAATTTCGATGTTGAAACACTATTTTAACATTCGCAATTTCATGAAATTCTGCATAGTGAACAAACTAGGCATTCTCAACACACAATTGTTCTTCTTACAGCATAACCAAAAATCACGCTTTAACTGTAATCGCTAGCATAAGTTTCATGAAATTGAAAATATTAGGAAAGTGGGAAAAAACTGATTGTAGTTACGAATAAAAACTATTTTCCAAGTCTTCGTTGAAGTTCCAAGTGTCTTTGTCCGTGTCTTTTTTGGTGCATCGTACTTCATCTGATCTCCCTGTTTTCGACGCATTTAGCTTTTATGCAGGCTAACTAATGCTTTCAAAAAGTTTTCTCACTTAGTAGCAACATGTGGCAATATATGTAGCAATTTTAAACTGATTGTTGGCACAAAATTTGACACACAATAGAAGTCAGAGTCTCCATGATCAGTCAGAAACTTATCAGCTCTGAGCTACACAAGTTGAGTCACACTGATTCACATAATCACAAAATGGTCCACATTAAAATCGAAAACTGTAAGCGAAAGAATGCGTATTGATTTTAATAAGGTTCGTGAGTTGACCGAGCTTGTGTTTACGAGACTTCAGCATCAGCGTTAGTTCAATCAGTTTACATACAAATAAACAATCTCAGGTGAGTTCTTTACACAAAATGCATCAAATCAAACAATATATCCCAGAGATCTCAATCATAATCATAATATAATCAAAAGAAGAAAAGAAGAATGAGCTCTTCAACGCTCCCACCCCCTACAGATGCACTTTTATGGTGTAAAAAATCGGGTGTACAAGTTTGGAATTACAGACAAATTTGCCGACAATTCAGTAATAAACTTAAAATTTGATTTCATGAAAATTAATATCATGTGAACAAAGATTAAAAATAAAAGAAATGGCAGTGGTGGGAGGAGGGGGGGGGGATTGAAGGCCCGAAAAATATGTAGTATAAATAACTGCACATTAAAGACCAATATCAAATAATCGGATAACAATTTTCCGTAATGATGAAATACCACATGAATGACCTTGACTTTTCATCTATTCATGATATGAGCAAGACAAGGGACGATTTACAAGGAACGCAAAACGACAAGTGGCAAAGCAAAGCTAAAGTTCAGTTTTGGAGTACTTAAATTGAGTACGTATATGTGTGATGACAATTATAATGCGGGAGCCTATTAACAGAGCAGATTCATTATACAACGTTCAGTTTGACGGCGGCTTTTAGCTCACGTGACTTTCTAGTATGATAACTTCAAATGGTAAATTTCATGGTTTCCATACTTTCATCGGTATGAAAAATTTATGGTACAGCATAGTTGCATTTGTTACTCGACTCAAATTCGAACACGTTTACATACACAGCGAAGAAGGCACGCTTCAATTAAGTTGTTTTTCTGCATTTCTCTTCTTTTTTTGGCTTCTTAGTTGACTTTTTTCAATTTCTGAACTTAGCCAAGACCATCGACTATACTATGACACATCTCTCTTGGGTCGTATCATCCTAAAACAAAATTTTTATTTAATGATGTCGATTCCGCATTTTAAAACATCACAGGAAGTCGAAGCCTTAGTGCATAGCTTTGATCAAAATATAAGACAGTTAAAAAAAAATACAACAATAACTCGGAAAAACTTTTCAGTTATCAATTTTCAGCAAAACTATTAAACGTTGTTTTTATCAGACTTTAAATTTTTTTAATCGAAAATTGAATATATCACTGATTTCCTGAGCTGCCGAATTAACTTTTGCAGAAAATCTCAAAATTAAATCCTCGCTTTTGAAACGAGAAATCCGTGTGGACCGATAATTGTCCTTTGTTCAACAAACCTAAACAAACTAGTGACAGCCGCAGTCGCGCCAACGTGTTGCGAGCTTGCCAACAGAGGGTAGGACTCTATACGAAAATTAGAGCCGGTTATCGCCTTGAAGCAGCGACGCGAGCGTAGCGCCCACCGGCGACGTTAAACCGGACTGTTTTGTATCGGACTGTTTTTCTTGTTCATTGCATGGTTTTTCGGACGGTTTTGTATTGGACTGGTTTTGTATTGGACTGTTTTTGTTTTGTATTTTCACCGAGAAATCGTTCACGTTCTTGCCATTTCCACTTTCGTAATCGCAAAGCGTTATTAGCCTTCCTTTTAGCTAACGAATTTGACTCGATTTTGAAAAAATAAAAAGTCAAACAGCAAAATAACACATTTGGCTCTAACAAATTTAGATTTTTGCCTGTAACAAAAAAATTCAAAAAGAAAATCAATCACGAAAAATCCCCTCTGACAACACACAATAAAAAATTTTTGGTTATCCAACGATGTCAAATGTGACCCTTAAGCCGCAAAGTATTAAGCCGAATGAAAAAAAAGAGTAAACGAAAAATTTAAATTATGCCAAAACGAAATTTGCAAATTGGGAATTGAATCATATTTGAAAAATAAAGGGTAATTAAAGTGCAGAAAAGCTCAAAATAGTGAGTTATGACCGAAGTGTATAACTCATAGAGTAATTTCGGATAGGGTACACCGTCTGCTCGTCACGCTATCTTATTTTCGGCCGGATAGATTCGTGCAACTTCTTAGTCTAATACCAATCCTAATCTTACTCTTATACTATCTAGTCTCAGGTTGTTTAACTAGTCTCTGTTAGGCTCAATAGATCTAGGGTATACTGGTTTATTGCGGTTGCTGAAGTCTTCTTGGAGAGTCAACTAATTTCTAAGTTAAATTCAAATCTCTCTGGTGCTGAAATTACAAGTAATTTCAGCACTTACAAATAAGTGGATTGTTAGTTAGATGGATCATGATTGGTTAATATTAAATACTTTACATTGGTAAAATATCTAATTTATCCAATCATAAAATGTAGTTTAGATCAGGTTCCACCCATCCGGGTTTTACAGAGTTTTTTAGAATAGTTTTTCTGCAATTCGAAGGATGGATGATGGACGTTGGTTTCTGGCGAACATCATATTTCTTCTGGGTTCTCTTGTTAGAGAAGTTCCAGGTTCGATCGTTGTATCATCTCATGACAACGACTGGGTCTTTGCAACAAACTCAAATCTGATTTCAGAATGGTTGGCTATGTCAGGTTTTTCTGTTTCATTGATGAGAACTTCTTTGTGTTTTGATCTTGTCTAGGAATGGCGTGGAGATTGTGCGTGGAGGGGATGCCTGGTTACTCGGATCTGTACGTATACTTGAACATCGAGGTGGTCATTGGTCTAGTTCAATGAAGTCCTTTTCTGCGAAGTCAAGTCGTACTCTAAATCCTTTGAGTTGTGATTGTGGGCGGCATATTGATTGTAGTTGGCCATTCTTTCTCGAGTGTAGTGGGGTCGTTTTGTCTTTGGATGTTCGTCCTTGGTGTTGTATTCTGATCTATGTATTGCATAATGTAATTTACATTTTATAAAACTTTTATTAGTTTAATATTTTTTAATTATGATTTTAGTTAGTTGTTTTCACAAAAGCTTTTTGTTTTAGTTCAGTTATTTTGAAGAGTTACTCACCCTTGAGTAGCTCTTATTAAAAATAGGAGTGTGGTCACAAAGCGTGGATGTAGCGCGGTGGGTTAGGCCGGCTATAGAGCATGCTCAGGACGTCCTTCCTGGTGGGTTAGGCCAGGAGTGGGAGTATGATTGCATGCGGTTTTTGTGAGGGGTCCTGTTATGTGACAACGTTTTATGTTGGGTTTGTTGTGGTTTTTCTTATGTTTTGTTGGTTGTGTCCTTTTTTCAAAAATCAAATTGTTTGTGGTATGGGTTTGTCTTTCGACTTTTTTGTGTTTTATTATTTCTTTCTTAGACTTTATAATAGTCTTCAAAAGAATAAATTATCCAGTTTTAAACTGGGTTAATCCGGTTTGGGTACCGTTGGTTTCCTTTTCTTAGTCATGCTGTTATGCTATGTGTTGTGGTGTTTAGTAAGCTGCATTGGTTAGTTTTGTTTAGTATATAATTCCTTTCCAACCGGGTTAAAGGAAAGTTTGAAACTTGTTATCGTGTGTTAGAGTTGTTGAGTGTGAAAGCTTGAAACTGAAATTCATTATTTTAAACAATTCTTCGTGGGCGAGCTGTGCGAGTGTGGATAGAACCTTTGCGCGAATGAATTGAAATATCAAAAGGTTAGTACTGCATTTGATTCTTATTAATTTACTACATAGAAATGTAAATTTACTGCTTGTTGTTGGGGAAAATTAAGTTACAACTTTTCATCATTATTAGATTTACTGCATTTGGGGAAAAATTTATAAATTAAATTACTGCATTGGTATTATTTTTAGTGATTTGTTTGGTGCAAAAAATTAATAGAGTTTTAAATAGTTTGAAGAAGTTTTCGATTTTTATTTTCTTTTGTGAATTTTTCAGATGATCGTTGGATGAAGGCTAAAATGCTAAATAAGACGTGGATAAAGAATGGTGAGTTTCTAATATTTTAATTAGTTAGTTATATGTATAATTCATACTTACCTGTTAGTCGTCGGGGAAGAAACCGTGGGGGAAGATGTCGTGGATGAGATCGGAAGTTGTTAGTAGTTTAGCTAGGATGCGGATGATATTTTTAGTTTGAAGCAGTGGCCAAAGCAATTGAAGTGCTTTAATGGTGCTTAGTTCTTCAGTGCCAACTGCAAATTCATAAGGTGTGTTTTGGATTAGATTATATAATTTGTGATTGAATTTAGTGTTATGGATGAATTCTAAAATGGGGATTTCTATAGGTTGTACAAACTGGTGTGGGATAAGGAAGGGTCGGGATTCTTCGGCGTTGAGGGTCTTGGTGATGGGGCAGAAGATATACGTTTGGGTTATGGGATCATAATTTCGAAGAATACCATGAAGGTTAGTATCTTTTATGCAATATGTGAAGTTAAGAAAGAATGGTGAGGTGTATTTGGAATTGATGAATTGAAAACGATGGTGTGGTTGTCTGGAGGGGGTGTGTAGGTCAAAGTGATTTTGGATGAAACGATAATATGTATATGTGTGTGTTTGTTTAGTGCGCAACATAATATCGTGTGAGCAGTGCAAATCTCTTTCATGTGGTGCAAGGAAATGAAAGGTTAGTGAAAACATTTGGAAGCGTTCTTTAAAACTTTCGTAGGCTTGTGTGTCTGTTAGTGCTTCTGAAATAATGTGGTCAAACTTGCGATCGAAGATATTTAGTGTAAATACATATGGTGTTTTAATGAAAAATTTCTCGGTGATTTGTGGGTTAGCGAAGCGATCGTCGTCTAAGAATTGATCTTGGTTAGTTCTGATGATGTTATGATCGTAATATTCTAGTGTATATTCATTAGCTCGGGGTGCAGTGTGTGTTTTTAGTGATTTTTTATATCCAATGTAAGTAAATTGTCTAGGTGTTAGTGGTGTAGTGAGTCGATATAGTATGTCCTTATTTCGTTCTATATCGATGTGAGTGTTAGATAAAGGTAAGCAAAGGGGATTAGTAAAATGATATGATGTCCAATGGAGTGTAGGCATTAAAACGTGTTCGTCTACAAAGTTACGTGTTTCGTTATTGTCGTGAGGGGTGTTTAAGGTGTATTGTGGAAATGAGGGTAAGGTGATAGCTAAAAATTCTTTTGTGTTAGTGTGATTTGGGTGATTTATATATTCACAGGCTGTTCCTGGTTTTGCTGGGAAAGGATGGTTGGGGAACTTTCTTTTAAAAGTGCGGTAAGCTCTATTAGTGCTGAGTGAAGATTCAGTAGATGTGGATGATGGTGCTAATGATTCGGTATAAAATGAAGAGGGTGTAGGGGTAGGAGGGTTGGATGAATCTATTGTGGATGAAATTTGGTTTATGGTGGGGGTATCAAGGTGGTAGGGTTGTTGTTGTAATGTAATAAAATTATCTAGTTCTGGGGAGATTTGGGGGGTATCTGGAGAATTGGATGATCGGTCTGAGTGATATGAAGAATAGGTTGGAGTGACTTGGGAAGCATAAGAGGGTGTAGAATTGGTGGGGACAGGGTTATTTGGTGTCATTGGTTGAAAAGGGGGTTGGGAAAAAATTGAGGGGTTGTTGGGAAAATTATTGGATGGAGATGGTTCAGAGTCGGCAAATTCATCGGGGGTTTCAATATTCGGGTTATTGAGTTGTGATGTGGAGTATAAAACTGAGATGTGTGAATTAGTATCGGAATTCATGCCTGATGTTACATTACTGGTTGGGAAATCGGGTGGCGGGAAAGCAAAAAGTGGTATTATTGTAATGGGAGTAGTGAGGTTGGTTGGGTGGGAATTTGAACGGTATAGGGATCCAAGTTGTCGGCTCATCGTGGGCTAAAAAAATTATTATTTTGAGACTGAAAAGCGGTGGTATGGGGTTGTTCTATAATTTGTTCATAAGTATTATCATCGTGTGATTGGTGTGTCATTATATGTTGGATGGGACTTTGTGATATGGTTGGTCGAAAATTTTGATTATGTGTTATGGCTAAATTACGTGGGACTAGGGATAATGGATGGTTATGTGGCAGGGGTGGTAACTGTGGTGCTGTTG